GCACCGGAGATTAAGGAAAGACACGTCACTGGACATGTGTCATCTAGGCCCATCTGCTCCCGCCACGTGGTTGTACACATGTCAACCATGTTTCTGCCTAAGAGGAACACTCTTGCCACATGCAAACTGATTGAGTAGAGGGCACCGGAACCAGCCGAGAGGAGAAGACCCGGCGCCGGAACAATAGCGGGCCCGGGCGCCGAGCACCGGAAGAGAGGCGAAGGCCCGGCGCCGGGAGCCGGGGCAATAGCGGACCCGGGTGCCGGAGGAGGGCGGAGCCCGGGAGCCGAGGTCTAGGAATGATGACGGGCCCGAGCGCCGGGAACTGGACGAGAGGTGAAGGCCCACCACCGAGGGCCGGGGCAATGGTGGGCCCGTGTGGTTCCGAGAGGAGGGCGGAGCCCGGGAGCCAGGGTCCGGGAACGATGTCGGGCCCGGGAGCCAGGAGCCGGATGAGAGGTGAAGCCCCGCCGCCGGGAGCCGGGGCAATGTTGGGCCCGGGTCCGGGAACCATAACGACCTGCGCGCAGAGAGCCGGACGAGAGGTGAAGGCCCGCCGCCGGGAGTCGGTGCAATGGTGGGCCCGGGTGCCGGGAGGAGGGCGGAGGGCGGAGCCCGGGAGCCGGGGTCCGGGAACAATAACGGATTGGGCGCCGGGATCGGGACGAGAGGTGAAGGCCCGCCGTCGGGAGCGGGCAATGTTGGGCTTGTGTGCCGGGAGGAGGGCGGAGCCCGGGAGCCGGGGTTCGGGAACGATAACGGCCCGGGCACCTGGATCCGAACGAGAGGTGAAGGTCGGCCACCGGGAGCCGGGGCAATGGTGGGTCCGGGTGCCACGAAGAGGGCGGAGCCCGGGAGCCAGGCTTGGAGGAATGAACTAATCTTGGGGCAATCGCGAGGCACTGTATGATTTAATGTTGGCGGGCCATGGCACAAATTTAGGGCTGCAAATGAGCCGAGCTGCTCGCGAGTGGCTCGGTGTTCGACTCGAGAAAAGCTCGTTCGAAACTCGACTCGTTAATAAACGAGTCGAACACGAGCTTACCTTTGTTCAGCTCGTGAAGCTCGCGAGCTAGCTGGACTCGGTGGCTTGTTGAGCTAAACTCGTGAGCTGGGTCGTTTAGAGCTCATGATATGTCTTGACATGTGGTTAGAGAGCCAACTCGATTACCAAATTATGGACGAATCAATCTATATCTTATGATTTTAATTCATATGGTTGTTAAATTAAATATCTCACCATATATAAAGTTTAACACGTTGAGTTTATGAGCAATATATCTTATTTTCTACTTTAAAAAGAAATTATGCATCATAAATTGCTTCGGTACTATGAAATAACATGATTTGGAGTAGTTAAAATTTATTAACTAAATGATATATGATACCAACAAAGTATAATATGAGATTAGCTAACAAAATAAATCATATGTATTATGATATACAAAATGAAGTATCAAATAAAAGTTAAAATTTTAATAAACAAGCTAGCTCGAGCTCGACTCGACTCGGCTCGTTAATAGCTGAGCTCGAGCTCGACTCGTTTATTAACGAGCCGAGATCAAGCTGGGGTAAAACTCGACTCGACTCGGCTATTTGCAGCCCTAGGCACAATTGGGTACTAATTGGAGCTGGATGGGCCTGACCCATTACTTCACCGGAGAGAGTCGTGGGCTGAGCACGATTGTCAGCCTAGGTGCAATAATGCACTATTTGAGCAGATGGGTAGCTAGTGCTATAAAAATATTTTTACATTGGGTATATCATAAAAGGGTTAATACCTTGTTATGGCCTGAACTATGACCATGTAATCAACTTTGGCCAGTGGTTTGAGAAATTAACATCCTGGCCCGAACTATGCAGCATATAGACAAAATTGGCCAGGAGCGTGGTTTGACCGTTTGTTTGGACGGTCAACACCGTTGACCGTTAGTCAACTGTCCAGGTCACTGCCATGTCAACATAAAAAAATTATAATTTCATTTTTCTTTTTATTTCATTTACAAAATTGAATAAATAAATAAAAAAACAAAAACAAAAACTTTTGGCCCACCCATCCCCACCTTATCCCCTCACCTTCTTTCCTTTTCGATCAAACCCAAACAAACCCTATTCCATCTTCTTCCCCGATAACCCGCCGCCTCCATTCTCATTCGCTTCACATTTCACTTCTGTCATTTTTTGTTGTTGTTTTTGTCTCGTGTCCTCTCTTTTCCGTTCCATTTCCTCTGCCTTTCTTCTCTGTGAAGATGAGTTTTTGCTAGTAGCAGCTGAAGAAGAAGAAGAAGACAGCGCCTTCGCATGGCGAGTCAACTCGGAGCTAAATCAACTCTGGGTCTCGCTATTTACCCGTAAGCTGGTCGTCAAGATCGCCGTCTCTCTCGCTCTGCCAGGTTCCTTCACTTTGTCTTTTTTCCCACCCTTTTCCATTATTATGTCGTCTATCATTGTAATTGACAATTTCGGCGACTTCCCCAATCTGTGGGTATCCATTCCCATGGCAGAAACACTGCCAATTTTGATGCTACCGTCTTGGGCGACCGAAAGTTAGGGTTTTATTTGATTTGTCTCCCTCCAAAATTGAGGAGTTTTGTGGTTTCAATTGAATTGGAGGCCTGTTCCGACTTAGGGTTTTTGCAATTGTCAATGATTCGGTGCATATTCGGATTCGAGTTCGTCCAATTCTGTGGCGGAGTTGGTAATTTGTGAATTTTGCGTCGTCATTGATATGGTTAATGATGTAGGGAGTTTTCATCTTGACAGCATTTTGTATAAAGTTTTCATCTTGACAGCATTTTGTTTGACCTCGTGGAAATTCAGGTTCCGGCATCGGAGATTGCTTCACTTTGGTATGGAGAACGAGGCACCGGATGCTATGTATCTCGATAACCTGCATTTGAAGTCGGAGAGAATGGAGGCGGCGGAAGAAGATGGAATAGGATTTGTTTGGGTTTGATTGAAAAGGAAAGAAGGTGAGGGGATAAGGTGGGGATGGGTGGGCCAAAAGTTTTTGTTTTTGTTTTTTTTTAAATTATTCAATTTTGTAAATGAAATAAAAAAAATGAAATTATAATTTTTTTATGTTGACATGGCAGTGACCTGGACAGTTGACTAACGGTCAACGGTGTTGACCGTCCAAACAAACGGTCAAACCACGCTCCAGGCCAATTTTGTTTATATGCTGCATAGTTCGGGCGAGGATGTTAATTTCTCAAACCACTGACCAAAGTTGATTACATGGTCATAGTTCAGGTCATAACAAGGTATTAACCCATCATAAAAATATCTCACAAATCAATTGTGAGCACCATACCCGGTTGTTGACCTTCACCTCTTATTCCGCTCCATTTCGTTTCGCTACCTGTCATCTCTCTTCGTTTCAACCAACGGAAAGACCCCTAATCATGTCATAAGCTTTATAGTAAGTTAGTTTGTTAGGCATTAAGCTCTATATTAAGCTTTTTACACGTCAAATTTTTCAAGATTTAGGAAACCCTACTTTACCGGCCAATCGGCCGGAAATGCCGGATACTGGACCTAAAACAATAGGAGGTTTTAACGATAGGAAACGGTTCAATCACAGTTTTAGTACAAAATAGGCAAAATTCACTTTCATAGCCATAACTTTGCACTTTGTGACAAATATAGCTAGATTCTGAGAAATACACAGAAATAGCCCAAAATTTGAAAATGCGTTGACAGTAATAGCCATTTCCGTTATTAAATGTGACGCCGTCAGGGACGCCGTTAATTACATGTTTGCTTCGCTGACGTGGCCGAATTATGGACTCCACGTCGGCGCCAACAGGACTGAATTTGCCACCAAAGCGCCACGTCATCCGGAGGAGAGAGAATCATTTGGGGCAATTAAACCTTCCAGATCTTCCAGCGACTTCTCCTCCATCTGATTTTCGATTTCATCTTCCTCCTCCCAGAAAAAGCCAGAATCGGCTTCCATCTTCCTCGCAGCGGCAGTGTCAATCCGGCGAAAACCCTCGACGCCGTGGACAAAGTAGCTTCTGCTCCAAAAACCATCACATCTCTTCCTACCATTTTCAGATCAAACCCTCCAAAAAGCATAGTCCCCTGTTCTGACCCTTTCTCGTTTCTATATTCTCAAACCTAATCCCAACGATAATGTCGAACACCTGATTTCGTCAAAGAAAACCCATAATCAAAACCCCAAATTAACAATCATGTTTTCGTTGCCCATCCTCCCTATCTCCGCCTTTCCCGCAACAAAAATCCCAAAACCCATAAATCCCAAACTCTCCAGATCGACCTTCATTCCTCTATCTGTGAGTCAGAGACAGAGGAGATGGCGAGAAAGCCAAGAAGCCCCAACGATGTCGTCGTTCGCAGTGGTGCTACCCAGATCCATTCAGCATCGTCGGAAGCCGCCACGCCGCACCAGAGCAGAGACAAATCCACAAATCAAAATCTGTCATGGCCAAGGCGAGAAGAGGAGGGAAGAGGACGAGCGGTTGTCTTCGCCTCCATGGAGATGATGCATGGCTATCTTTGTCGAAGCCGGAACAGAGGTGGAGAAGTGAATCGGGGAGACGAGCTGGGTCAGATTGAGGGGTGAATCGACGGATAGGTGGATTGGCGGATGAGTGTGTTCGTTGATTGAGTGTTGCCTTCGATCTGGAGTGATGGGGAGGGGGTTCAGGGAGAAGATCGGGACGGATCTAGGTTAGATGGAAAGAAGATATATTTTTTGTTTGAATAATTAGCTTCCAATTAGCTACAGCGGAGATGGAAAGAAGATGTGGGGGAGGGGTTTAAGCGTGCACGACTTTTCAATTTCCTTTTTTATTATTTTATTTTAAATATAATTATAATAATAACTAAATAAGAAAGAAAACTTTTTCACCTGGAATTGATTTTAACGAAAAATAGCCACATCACTATAAAACGTTAGTACATTCAGCATATATGACGTTACCATTAAATTTATGGACGGAATGACTATATCTGTGTATTTTTCAAAACTTGGCTATTATTGTCACAAAGTAGATAGTTATGACTATGCAAGTGTATTTTGCCTACAAAATACCTTACTGTTGACTTCTCCGGTATAACCTCTGTAACGGTTCCCTCAACCTTGAAATTTTTACGTGTTTAGCATTAGGCTCCATATTGAGTTGGAATAAACTTTACAGCATGGAACTTGAAAGAGGCCAAGACAGGGATGACAGACTACACATGAATATTGGTAACTACTATTACCAAAATTTAATGATCATAACTAGTTAAAACTGCACCAGGCATCATGCGAATTGCGACATATTGCAACATGCTTTCTCCTTCCATCTTCCACAGTATCCATTCTCCCAAGCCACTACCAGCATTGAACTACAACGAAAAGCAATAGAGGAATTAGACTGATTAAACGCATGAACAATCCGGACTCGATAACATGATAACAAATATGATCTGTTACAGTTAAGACAAGCGAAGAGAGGGCATGATAAGCTTCAGAGCCTAATCCAATTCAAGCTGAGTAGTAAATAGTAATAGAAGATCAAGTCCCATTAGATTTGTCAAATGCTACACTTAGCAGATAAACAGAGTATGGCGAAGATCAGAAAGTTTCTAGCAGATTGGTGGAGGGAGATGATTTAGAAGTTATGGTGCCGTGACCAGGTGACACAAAAGATTCATATTGAGATATCACTATGAAGAAAGCCGAATTCAAAGCAAAGCAATACCTATAAGAATGAGCTTCAAAGCATCTCAATAATTTTAGGCTGCTTCTTTGGCCTCCTTTTGTTGACAATTCCAGTTGAACCACCTCTTCCGAGCTTGGATGCGTCATTTGGTGAAGTATCTTTGCTGATATTATCATTTCCCACACTACCCAGATCATCAGCCCCTTCCCTATCACTTCCATCATCACTATCATCACTTGAATCTTCTGAGTCTGACTCACTGCTGCTGCTACCATCTAATGTTATCAATGGTAGGGCTCCAGCCAAGGCAGATTCAGCAGCAGCCACAGCTTTCTCATTGTGAAGCTCTGCTACACCTAGCATCAAATCCTAGAAAAAACAAGACACCAAAATGATATCATTAAGATAAAAATTGATTTGATATAATCACGGACAAAGACAGATATCACATTACCATTTCAATAACTTCGGATTCATTTCCTGTGAGTGCTTCAATATCACAGTTCTCAGAACTATCCTACATATTTAACCACAAACAAGAAACGGGTTATTCTATTTGGAACTTCAGACGAGGTGGATCCCCAGCAATAAGTGAACAAACCTTGGGATCTGGTTGTTTTGCTATGAGTTCGAGTAGATCTTTAACTCTTCCTAGCACTGCATTACATGAAAATCAAAGGTACTGGGTGTTAAGTATCGGATAAGTGAGTCGAGTACAAGCCACTATTAGAAACTGTGACCATTCGTTACAGTTCCTGAATGTGTGACCCATTAATTTAACTTGAGAATTCACATCCTCGAAATCAAAATCAAAATAGATGCAAAACTATCAAACAATCTGAGATGCAAGAATAGGTAGTCCTTGTAATGCTGGGTGATCTGTCAATTAACTCTGAAGAAGAAACATTAACACAGTTACATATGAGATCATGTCTAGCAGTTCTCCGGTATGTTAAAGACTGAATAACACAAGAGAAGGACCATCACTTTCTTCGCCAACCTAAGAGCTGAATCTACATTACCAGACCTTTCACTACCTATATGGCTCTATTTTGAGTCCAGTAATATTCTGGAAACCGAACACTATCGTAACAATATTTGTACAATGGTTAACAATTTCTTATATAAAGCTTCAACATTCAGCTAAAACACCAAGTTCATTAAACCCCAGTTTTCACCACTAGATTTCTTTTTATGAATGAAAACAAGGCATTATTCAAAGAGCAATACACCAGGACTGTATCACTAGAGTGATTATAGAGAAAAGACAGAAGAAAGCTAAAAAGGGGCTAAAAAAATACTTGAGACACCCTGCACGAAACAAACCAGAGCAAAAGAGAAAGAACATCAGGTTCTCCTAGCACCGAAATGCAAACTCTCATTGTTCCACCCCCATCACTTGTGGACATACATGATAACAAAAAATGCTAAACAGAAAAGTAGTTGCATGACAAAATCAGGCATATATTTGAGGAATGCAAGTGAATTTCAGCAAGCGATAGCACAACTCTACATGCCTTCCCGCGCAAGATGTAGCCTACAACATAATGGACCTTTCACAAACTTAATAAACTAACTTGATCCACCGCCAAAACAACAGCATTCAGATTTCAGTTGTGCCCATTATCCAAGAATGATCAGTAAATAGAGATACCATAATCAAATGGAAGTTCAGCGTATGGACTTGGCTTTACTTTTATATCACAGAAATCCCCACAATGGTACAGAAAACAAGCTGAAAGACTCATCCAGGAATAGCAATCCATAAGTCAAAACTGGCACAGCGGTAGTCAACTCAAAACTGTGGTCTGTAGACAAATAAACAGAACAGCTGACATCGCAACAAGCCATAAACCGCAGAACTGAACCTTTCCATTCCTTTCCCTGATGACTCCGCTATCAATGAAACTGAATTCTAATAAAATGAAGCATTCAAAAGTAACGTTACCTTGGCTTTGAGGGACTGGAGCAGTCATGAGCTTCCCATCGGAAGGAGTTGTTTTAGGTAGAGAAATGCTCGAATCCTTCCCGCAGAAGAGAAGTGAAGACTCGAAAGCCGACCCGGCCGTGGCTGAATCCTCCTTTTCCAGCCGCAAAAGCTCCTTGCTCGCACTTCCTCCACGCCTTTCTTTCTTCCTTTTTCCTTGATCCTCCATTCTTTTCTTCTCCTCGCTGCGTCACAGAGTTAGAGACGAAAGCAGCAGTGGCAATTGGCAAAGCTCTTCCTCTTTTATTTTTGGTAGAACTAGAACCCTAGGCCCTTCCTTTCTTAAAGCAGCTGCCACGCGAAACTGTATTCCGCCGCGCAGGAGTTCTGAAATTAAAACAGAGGAAGCGAAGCGGCGCCATTGTCGTAAATATCTGACACTGCTGGAGCGCAAAATTGGGCCTCCGGGTTCAATAACTGCCCGGGACTAGATACTATAACAACACTCCTTGTGTTGTTATTGTAACAACATTAGTCTCCAACCAATAGGAAGCTAGGGTTGTGATGACTTTTTATTAGATGAGTTGACCTAGTGTAAAATCAAAGCAGGGGTATAATTGTCATTATGAAAAATATGTTTAAATAATAAAAAAAATAAAAAAAATATTTTTTTATTTTTTCGGCCCAAAATTTTGGTCGCCGGAATTCTGTCAACGGTCGCCGGAAAATGGTCGCCGGTCACCGGAATATGCTTTTCGTCGCCGGAATATGCTAGCTTCTCATCGGAATATGCCACCGTCGCCGGAATATGCTTACCGGCGTCGGAATATGCTTACCGGCATCGGAATCTAGTCATCGGGGCCGGAATATGCCTATCGGCGCCGGAATCTGGTAACTGACGGTCATCGGAGTTTGGTCAACGATTTTCGTTGACCGGTCAACGGTCTTCGCTGACCGGTCAACGGTCAAGACCACCGGATGTTATGGTCTGCATTGTGAGATTTATGGTTTGGTTTCTCATATTTTCGTATGCCTTTTGTGGTTTGCTTTATCGTGTTTGTGGTTTGCATTGAGAAGTTTTTGGTTTGCTTTATCGTGTTTGTGCTTTGCATTGAGAAGTTTCTGGTTTGCTTTAAAAAACTTTGTGTTTTGCATTGAGGGGTTTCTGGTTTGTTTTAATATATTTGTGGTCTGCATTAGGACGTTTATGGTTTTTTTTTTCTGGTTTGATTTATTGTGTTTGTGGTTTGCATTAGGAGGTTTCTGGTTTGCTTTCGAAAATTTTGTGGTTTGCATTATGAGGTTTCTGGTTTGTTTTAGGAGATTTGTGGTATGCATTCGGAGGTTTCTGGTTTGCATTAAGAAGTTTCTGGTGTGCTTTCGAAACTTTTATGGTTTGCTTTGCGAGGTTTCTGGTTTGTTTTAATATATTTGTGGTCTGCATTAGGACGTTTCTGGTTTGCTTTACCGTGTTTGTGGTTTGCATTAGGAGGTTTTTGGTGTGTTTTAGAAACAGTTGTGGTTTGTTTTGTGGTGTTTCTAGTATGTTTTAGGCAATTGATAGTCTGCATTAGCAGGTTTCTGGTATGCTTTCGAAATAATTGTGATATGCTTTTGTGATATTTGTGGTATGTTTTATAAGATTTATGGGGTGCATTCCAAGACTTTTTTACTAGCTAACATTATTTCAATTGATCATTTGCACTTTCTATATAGGATCACAGTAGACTTCAAACATGTGGTTGATCACTATCTTCTTCTCTAGTCCTTGCACACTTGAATCCACATACAAAGAATCTTTTTCAGCTTCATGCATTCTTCTCGTAAGCATATCTATAAGAATTGGGTAGATAGTTCAGACACTATGTTGTTGCACATAATTGTTCACATTTCATTTCTCTTAGGTCGAGCTTCATAACCCGGTATCATTTTATCTGAATTTTTGTAATATGCAGGTGACATCTATCCTGTCACTTGCAGCAGCATCGACATCAGCATGAGTCACAATTTTGGAGGCTCGAGACCTGCACTACTGCAATGCCACACCTTACTTCCCATGCAAAAGGTTCCAAATCTCCATTGCTTTGGCTTTCATCTCTGGGTTTCTCCTTGCTGTGTCGTCCCATGTCATGTTCTGGCTCATGGCGTCTGTATGAAGTCTAAAAACTCCTCAAAGTGTGATTAATTTTGTAGCTGTAAATACAAGTTACCTGAGCAACAGAATCCGGAACTTGTCGATCGACGACGATGGAAAACCACAGAGTGGCGGATGGAGTGCCGCTCCAGACCTTCGCGCGGCTTCTCGACGGGTAGACGGCTACCCTGCGATTCGCAGCACCGGAAGCTTATACTCATGAAATCAAGCTGCGAATCTTTGAGATCACCAGAATCTCTGTTCAATCCCGAGGCTTGTCATCGGCGGCCGCCATCTCGACGACGATTTCGTCGTCTCGACGCCGGAGTGCAGCGTACACCTCCTACTTGACGGAAACAGGGACGATTGCAGGGCGGAAGATTGCGCCTTTGAAATCGATCGATTGGCGTCGGCGCCAGGAGGACGATACGTCTTGGATGGAGGAGGATTGAGTGGTGGCAGAAGAGAATTGAGCGGCCGGAAGAGGATTACCGTCGGCGCTGGAGGAGAGACTGTGGAGAGGGGCGGAAGAAAGAAGAAGAAGGGTGGGTGGGCTGAATATATTTTAATTTTAATTTTATTAGATTTTAGTTAAGTTTACCCTTATACCCTTAATGAATTCTGTTGTTAGTATAACAACACTAAGTGTGTTGTTATACTATCCGCACCCGTGGCGGGTAGTGGTAATTTATTTGGATACTAACAGTTTACGGTTATCAAATTCGTGTTTACGGATTTGAAGGTTTTGAATTTGTGATTTGATGGATTTGTAATTTTAAATTTACATGAAATGTGAGATAATATTACAAATTCATGAAAAATATACACCATATATCGTATCCTCGTATAATTATAAATCAGTGGGCGTCATTAACTCGCGATACCAGAATAAGAGCAGCAACCTCTAGTGACATTATAGACATGAAAAAGGAAGACCTTCATGACTCTATGAAAAACATGGCCGTACAAATATATTATGTCTAGATATTTCATTTCGATTTCTCAAACGGTCTTCGAAGTCACGTAAAAAAGCATTTACACATCGCGGGATGACATATCATTATCGGTTAATTGCATGGTTGGTCACTGAAATTACAAAAAACATTGCATGGTTGGTTTATTTTATTTATTTATTTTATGGAAAAAAATTAGTTGAACATTAAAATAGATTAAATTTTATTTTATTTATTATTTCTTAATTCTCACGTCACTAAGTTAACGGTCAACTTTGAGAGTTGACAGCCACATCCGCCAAAGTTAACGGAGTTGGACGGAGAGTGACCAAACGTGAACGATTTCAGTAAACTGAAGTACCATCAAAGGATTTAAATATTTCAAGTGACCAAACTTAAACGTTTTTTGTAATCTCAGTGACCAACCATGCAATTAACCCTATCATTAGTTCATTACCATACTCATATTTCCTTTCTTCTTCTTTTGACACAAGTTCAAAAGAGGATATGCACAAAAGGCTATAATTTCCATTCCATTTTTGGCGCTTCACGTTGTTTAAAGTCTCGCCAAATATTTTATTTTATTGTCTTAAAATGTGTTGAACATAATGGAAACAAATATCAGCATATCATCGAAAGATATTATACATCTAATTCTAAGCTTTCAAATATATTTTTTCTTCTTCATTATACACAGGTTAGGGATAAAAGCTGCATAAAAAACAATCATTTTCCTTTTATTGAACTTACAACTTCTCTTTTTTTATATAGGTAACTTAAAACTTCTAAAAAACTCATAAATGACGAACTAAATTACATCAGTTCAATATTCACGTCTATACGGAAACCCAACAATAAAAAGACCCGAGGATGAAAAAGACCAAAGACAACTAACTATATACGTATTAAACATGCTATACAAAAATCTACCAAACAAAAAAAAAATTATTTTACATATTAATCAAATGAATTAACGAGAAAAGATATAGAACTTCGCCATAAATTTCGAACATGTGATATCTAAGTCAGAAGTCAACAGCAATACCGGTAAACCGCTCATTCGCCATAACAAATCAACTCGAAATTAACGAAACGGAGATAATATTAATTATTATGCATTGAAAATACAATTGAAAAACAAAGCTTACAAAGTAATGAAAGCATCACTATGTCTTCTCTCAAATGGGAAAATTAAATCACAAACTATGTTACGACTGAAACAATAATCAAACCACAAAGACCAATATTCAAAGCTTCAAGGTGAGGTCCAAATCCTCCCTCTCGTCTTCCTTCTCCACGTCCACCACCACCACTCCCGCCTGCCGCCACGGCCTACCCTCCATCCGCTGCAGAAACGGCCTCGTATAAGGCGCCCGAATTCGCTCTTCCAATGTCCTAATCAATCCTCCCCGTTGGTAAGCAGACTTGAAATCATTGATGGTATGATATGGGGTTGGTGACGATGACGAAGACAACGTCGGTTGATCAAAGCGTGACAAGGACGAAGAAGCCACGTAATAGTTGTAGCAACGCTGGATCAAACCCGCGGTTTGGGTAGAAAGACGACCGGATGAAGGCGGGGAGAGCGCGAAGGATTGGATGGAGCGGTTGATGCGGTGTGAAGCCGGGGTCTGCCCGCGCCCGGCGGAAGGAGGCGGCGGTGGTGGTTGTAGTAGCGGCGGCGACAGAAATGATGACGTGGCGCCGTCATCACCCGCCTTGCGTTTTCTCAGGTTGGGGAGGGAGGCGGCTAAGTGGGGGCGGTTGTGGGGAGAATGGGTGTTGACGTGGTCGATGAGGGTTTGGATGGTTGTGAAAACCGCCTCGCAGGAGTGACAGATTAGGGATAACTGTTCGGACGAGGGTGCAGGTACGATAGCCTGTTCGCTCGATGAAGCGCCGGAGGAAGGAGGGCCGAAACATGGCCTTTTGGATTTGTTGTTGTCGGACATGGTTTTTTGGATGGAGAACGAGAGATACGTTAAGTGCTAGAACAATGGTGGATGATTTTGATTTACACAAAGGTGACAATCACTTGAATATATAGTCAATGTTGTTACTTGTTACCATTTTTTAGGTGTATGGAGGTGTACATGCATGGCATTTCATTCATAGCAAAGATTTTGAAGGGCCGAATATTGTACGGTTGTAAAGGGAAATTTAACTATAAGGAAATGTAGAGGAGGTGGAACTAAATTGCCTAACATTTTAGATTCATTGGTAAAAAAATTGATTTCATAAACGAATATTTAAGGAACTCATATAAATTTATGATTTTGTAGGCATAGTAAAAAAGATAGATATATTTTTTTTTTTTGGCATGGTGTGTGTGAAATTTAACAAGTTTGCTATTTGGGTTAAAGAGTATATGGTTTTTGTAATAATCTAGTCTTCATACAATGCAATAAAAATTAATATGGTGCATTATCTAGGTAGAAGTATCATTAAATTTTCGAAAAAAAGGTAACAAAATTTAGTATGAAGGATTGAGTAGATAGAACTGTAATTATATTTATTTATGGCAAAGAAAGTAACAAAATTTAGCATTATACATTGTATGGAAAGAACTATAATTATAGTTATGGAAAAGAACGTAACAAAATTTAATATGTTGCATTGTCTAGGAATAACTATAATTATATTTATCGCAAAGTATCGAGAAAACCGTTGGTGATAAGTTTTGGAAGTTGGCCTCTGTTTCTAAGGATGGCTTGGAGCTATAACACGTGATTTTTGCACAAAGGTTTTGCCATGAATGTTCATAACAGCCGTCGAACTAACTTATGATTGGACACTTAGACTTCGCATGTATTTCTTTAGGAGCAAGCCATATGAGAGGTTCCAACGACCAACGGTACAAATGTTTTGATGACTTCTCTGATCCTAACCTGGACTGGGAGTTCAATGAGTTTGAGAATCTTCTTCCTATAGTGGTGAGCGGCAAGATCAAATCAATAATTATGATTGACAGTTTGTCCAACGATAATGACACACTTCTTTCATAAGAGTACGTACCCCCAACAACCAGTTCACCACAAGTTCGGCTTACAAGATCAGCTCACCACATCAATCCTCTCAAGCATCGACGATGTGGAAGGCCATTTTGAAACTCCAACTCCTTGAGAGAGTTCGCTACTTTGTTTGAACTGTTGATGTTCCACAAATGAAGAGTTATGACCACCATGTGAAACACCTAGGAGACTCGACCATTGTGGGAAGGAAAAAGAAAGTTGTGTTCGGCTAGTTAGTTGACAAAGTGAGGAAAATGGTAAAACTTTGGAACAACAAGTTGTTATTGAATGCAGGGTACTTATTAAATCGGTATCTCAAGCACATACTACATTTGCCATCTCATTTTTCATGATACCTATGTGAGTAATTCAGGAGATATAGCGCACCATCTTCCATTTTTGTGGGGACAAAAAAGGAAGAGAGTGGTGGGTTGAGGACTTTCGAGACTTGCAAAGTTTTAATCGGCCCTCTTATGTATGTAGTTATGGAAAATAATGCAAGCCCTTAATTTAATAGTGACAAAAGTTATGAATGAGACATTCTCGAGGTTGAGGAAGGCAATAACCCAAACTACTTATAGTGAGGTTAATGTCGACAAAAGAATTTCTACCAAAGAGAATTCGTTATAGAACTAGGAATGGAAGGAAAGTAGATATATGGTAATATTTTTGAGTTTTAAATATAGAAAAGTTTAAAGTCTCATCCCCGGCCTCGGTGATTGAGGACTCAACTTCAGTTGCAAAGTTATTTGATTTGGAAACTAGGACATGGAGAAATGACATTCAACGTGCTTATTCAACCCTAAAAATGTTATTAATATTCATAAGATCATTATACCAAGACAACTAGATGCTTGTGTAGCTAAGAGAAATCATGCCATTATATTGTCAAAACAACGTACAAACTGTGGTGAAAATGCAATGAAGAGGTAGGAGAGTATATACTTTTATTGACTAGAAAAGGCTATGAAGGTTGACCATTCCCCCTAAGGTTAAGGTCTTTGAATGAAAATGGGTGCACAATATACTCCCAAGAATGCATGATATTGTGGATCACATGCAAAAAGGAAGTGAAGGGTTCTCTTTTGCAATCTTGAAGAGACTTATGAGCATATTTTTCGAGACTGTGGGTGGAGCATAATAGT